ATCATGACAACTACTATGGCAAACGACTTCGGACTAGGTGCGTTCTACATAGTCTCCCTGAGAACAAGACGAAGTTGCGACAACGAGGTCAACCCACTTCTAGATATAGTTGGTTCATAACTGACATAAAAATTAAATTAATTATTTTTCGTATTTAAGTAGAGTTTCGAGACTATCAGTAAATCAGTAATATGAAATGTATTCATCCTATTTCGTTTAAGGTGATGAAGGACTGGTAGTAGAATTTTCCCACAATGAGCGATTGGGTCAAATAAATTGTCAATACGTCCTTAATACTGAATGAACTAAGCAACCAGCGATCCTGAGCGCTTAAATTAAAACAGGCTCTAATATTCGAAACGAAGCCATTTAAAATAAAAGAATATTTGTCAATCAATAAGGATGTGAGAAATGATATACTCCAAGTAAAAATTGCTAAGTTATATGCATGACATATGAAAAGGAAATGCTGCCCCATTTAAGTATTGATGCAAACATTGTTTATGGAAAGCGAGTTTATGTTTTGGGCCATGAATAAGGAAGGGGCACTTAGGTAACCTTTTTCACTTATAAGGTTTGTCAGGAGTCGAGGTTTTGAGGTGTAACGGGATGCAATTTAGCAGGCTCAGGAAGCAAAGGTGCTTCAGTAAAAGGATGACTACCTGCACCCAGACTCAACAAGTAGCTATTAAAGCCAAATTTTCGATGAAAAAATCAGGTATTTAAAGATTGACCTACTGAACGAACCAATGCTTCATAACTCGCACAGGCAAGACACCACCATAATTTTGAACCTGCAATAATATCGACGAATTGTGGTGCGGGCAAAGTTCGCAAGCAAGCATGAATTCAGTTTCTAATGAAATAGAAATGACAACTTATTACACTTCTTAATTTATATATAGCTGCGGCAAAAAATCATCTAATGATACAGGCAAAAAATACTCGAAGTGCCAGATACCCTCCAGAGGCTTAATTTATATGCTCATAAAATATATGAAAATCCAAATTTCTTTTCTTTTCTTTATTAACTACAAAAAAGAAGACGCAAGGCCATGACAAGTTTTCTTGGAGAAATGATTTGCTTGCTTATATTTTTTATTAGGTGATGCAGTTGGATTTTAATTAAGAAGCAATCTATTTTATTTTTACCTGAGTGAGCGTAATCTTTTCACCTTCACTTGAAAACATCGCCTTGATATCAAGTTTGCTATCAAATTCCAATTTGGCTATTCCTTCAAAGCATTTCTTCAGATGAGGCTGCACGCGTAGGGGATCTTTAGTCTCAGAGAGAATTTCGAGCATCTCGTCATTTGAGAGAAAGAAGAATCGGGGAAAGAAAAGCCTTTTCTTTTCGAGGTATGCATTAAGGCCCTTATTGATCTTTTCAAGAAGAGCATTGCTATCCTTCAATCTTTCTAGTAGACCGGAAAACTCAGTAGCCTAAGAATAGGGAAAATGCAGATAGAATATGAATAATTTATACATATATATCCATATATATGCGCGTATAGTCTTTCTAGGATATTTAAAGTATGGTCTGAATATGACAGTTCAATGTCTCTAGAAATTTATATGAGTATTTTTTATTTTCAAGTCAGCTTGTATTTAGGGTATTATTTACTTTGAATAAAAAGTAAAATAGAAATAAAAGTCACCTACAATCTAGGTAAAACTAAGGTAGTATAGAACAAAGGAGAAAAGCTTGACTAAGATGCCATAATCTTTTTTTTATTTAACTGGTTCATACAATAAACTTTCATATAGGTGGAAATTAAGAGTAAAGGATGCCAGTGTAAAAATGACCTTTGGCTATTTTCTGGAGAGTGATGCTATTATTCGGTCCAAATCCCACATATTACGCCAATTTTTCCTATCGTGCTCACTAGGTATTTTATCTTACACAGCTGTATTAAATTTCCGCATAGAGAAACAGGAATAAAATTAAGAAAAAGCAGAAATATTTTGCATCTAAGAGTAGCACTATTTGGTATTGTGGGTACTTAAAGCATAGAAAAAGAATTTTTCGACAACTATACGCATCTAGAAAGGAATCCACATATTACTGATGGTGTTTTGAGCTAAAATTTCATTTCAGCTATGGTTATGATTCAGGGAAACGAGGATGTGGAAGGATTGGTAAATATGTAAATATATAGATAAATAGATATAAATAGATATTACCTTCAAGACACTGGGATCTCGTATTGTATTTCGCATAATGTCTTTCCAATTTTTGTCGACTAAGTTATAGTTTCGTCCTTCCTCTGGCATCTGCTGCATTATGTCCTCAGAGTTGAATATTGGCTCAAGGTAAAGCCATTGAGCTTGCATTTTTAGCCATTCATCAATCGTTTCTTGAATTCTCAATAATCTTTCCTCCCAGAGCTTAGGGAAAAATCAGTGAATAAAATATTGTACTTATAAAGTCAATTATAAAATAGGTAGTATTATCTAGGATTAATGCTGAAATGATATGCAAGACAAGTGTAAAGAAAATACTGCAACATATAAGGCCATACAAGTGATGTTTAGGTAGATAAACCATCGGATTTTTTAATTTTAAAATAACTAAGTAAATTAATATATCGTAGATATGAAGACCAAGATGGTGTGGCCTTCTGTTTAGTCGCATTCTCCGTTAGCTTTATAGTGTTGGCTCGACCTTGTTTTCGCAACATAGTCGGAGCGTCAGGAAGACTATAAATTTGCTAGGTTGTAGCTCTGTGCTTATGATGACGCCTCTCACTGACGATTCCGACGAAACGTTTAGGAATGTACCAAGTCACTGGTCCAATGCTGGAAATTAAAAATACTATGGTAGAGGATACTGGACTAGATAGGTTTCACAAAGTCTCCCTGACGCTCCGACCAAGTTGCGAAAACAAGGTCGAATCAACAATGTAAATTAAGATAGTTAATTATAATAAACAAAAAAATTTAACAGTAGTTTGACCTTGTTTTCACAACTTGGTCATATTGGTAGGAAGACTTAGAGGAACGCACCTTGTCCGGAGTCCATTGTATGCATGATAATTTTTAGTCGGACAATAGAATGAGTTTATTCACAGTAGCTTCACTGGCATAGTAGTCGGTATTGTCAGTGAGTTCTGCCAGTGAGTCTTGCCAGTCCTAGCACCATACTGCAACTCGTTAAAGAGGCAGGGAAAGCCGATCCTTTGACCAATTATCTGCTAAAAAATCGTGGTATCTCTCCTTCCACCCTAAGCTAATCATCAATCCTATATCCTCGTATCACGCCTTCCCTATCACAATTTTGTACTTGCTTATTTAAATGTGTACCATTTTGAGCGGCTTTCATGAGAACTCTCCGCACTCCACACTCGCTTTCTCACCCTCCCTCAACACCCTTTAGCCTTGTGCTAGGAAAGTTGATCAAAGTATGCCATATTGTTATGCAGTCCCTATTCCATAGGTTTTAGCAGAGTCTCCCTATTGCCCCGTAGGATCCGTCTGATATCTGCCTGGTTCAAGTATTTCACTCGACCCCTACAGCCCATTCTGTGTTAATCAAGGCGTTATTACCCCAACCATGCGTCTGTGTGACTAATTCGAGGCTAAAGCCTCTGGTCAAGCCTTTGCTACATGGACCACGTCTATAGTAAAACAGGCATACTGTCAGCCAACTAGCTCTAGTTTTCGCCGCGTGTATCCTGTTTCTATCCCTAATACCAAGTCTATGAACGTCGACGCTCTAGTCTCTTGTGTGCCAACCCACATTTGTTGTGGAACTGCTTGCTCTGATTAGGTTCAATGAGGAATAACAACATTTGTGGGTTGGCACGCAAGAGACTAGGGCATCGAAAGTCATATACTTGTAATTAGGGATAGAGGCACGAGACTAGAGCAGGCTTGTTTTACCATAAACGTGGTCCATGAAGCAATGTCTTGACCATGAGAATTACGCAGTGGATTTGGCCTCAAGTTATTATCCCAGAAGCATAGTGTGGGAACTAAAGCCTCGAGTAGCACAGATGTGGTTGCAAGGCAGATAGCAGCCGGATCCTACTGGGCAATCGGGAGACTCTGCTAAGACCTATCGAAGGGGGACTGCATAACAATATGGCACACTCTGATCAACATTCATAGCACAAGGTTGAAGGGTGTTGAGGGAGGGTGAGAAAGCCAGTGTGCAGTGTTGAGAGTTCTAATGAAAGCCGCTCAAAAGGGCACACCATACCACATTTAAATATGTAAGAAAAATTGTGATAGTGAAGGTGTGATAAGAGGAGATAGGATTGATGATTCGTCCAGAGCGGAAGGAGAGATACCACGATCGTTTAGCAGACAATTGCTCAAAGGATCGGCTTCACTTGTCTCTGACGGGTTGCAGTATGGTGCCAGGGATGGCAAGACTCACTAACGATGCCGACTACTATGCCAGTGAAGCTTCTGGGAATAAACTCATTCCATGCTCCGACTCCGGA